CAGGCATCAGTCACCTCACCTGGCCTTGTTATCGTATTTTAGGCCCTGTGACAAGGATTCAGGGGCGAGTAGGCAGCACAGGTGTCAGGGGGAGGTGAAGCGTGACAGGGAAGGGGCAGCAGCAGCTGGTGTGTGCCATGAGGCCTGTCTCCACTGTGGGCAGCTGGAGTCTGATCCTGCTGGGAGCTCCGAGGGCCGGGGGCCGGGGCATTTATCCACCGGCTCCTGCGAACAGCTAGAGCTCCCAGGAAACCCCAGCCTGCCCTGGGCTGGAGCAGAGCTGGCAAAGGGATGCAGGCGCTGGCCCGGAGGTGGAGCCCAGAAATGTGTGTGTGTGTGTGCGGGGCTCCGTGGGGACCTGCTCCGGGCACGAACACTCTTCATCCCATTGAAGCACGTGGCTTCCTGACTTTGCCTCGGTTCCTCGGTTCCACGACAACAGAAAAGGGGCCGCATTTGCCCAGTCTGGGGAGCAGGAGATGAGGGCGGAGCTGGCTGCTTCCTGCAGCGTGGTGACATCCTCGCTGGAGAACAAGGACCTGAGGTCCCGGTGGAGCAAACCGTGGGTGCGGGTGTCACAGTGCGAGCTTGCAGGCGACTCAGCATTCAGGGGGGCAGGGTCTCGGAGTCTAAGCGAAGAGTCTTGGACTTCGTTCTGCTGTCAGCGGTTTTTCGGCCTGAGCAAGGTATCAGAAATAATGCCCAGGCTACATCTGGGAGGAGGGGCTGTGTGCCGCCTGCAGGTGCCGGCTCCTCCAGAGACCAGGAGCCTCTGTCCACACAGCCCCAGGCCGCACGGCGGGCAGGGCCCTGCTGGGGCCCCGCACCGAACTCGAACTCGGGTCCAGCCATCGCCAGAATCCTGCCCTGCCCGGGAGTCAGGGCGGACACACCCCGAGTGCAGCGTCTCTGCTTCATTGAAGTGAATTAATGAGTGAGGGAGTGAATTGGCGGCCGGGCGGATGGAAAAGTGCCTGGATACGTCTGGTCACTGGCAGGGCTGGAGGAACGGGCAGGAGAGAGAGAGAGAGACGGGCGAGTCCTGGATGGGTGGGGACATGTCCGGGAGACAATCAGGGTCTCGGGCTCTTCCGGGGCAGTGGCCCCACCTGGGAAGAAGGATGGGCGGCCTCTCCAGGGTTGGGCTGCCCCACCCTTAATCCCGTCCCGAGCAGCTGCTCCTCCTGGGGCAGGGGGGGACCCTTTATCAGTCCGGGGACTCCCCAGCCCAGGCATGATAGGATCTGGAAAGGGCCCTACAGTGACCTAAGGGTGACCATGGAGGCGTTGGCGTGACTCTGCATGGCACTTCACCCCCTTCCCAGGTGGCTTTCTCAGAGGCAGCTCCAGTAGGCAGGTGGCATTTTGAGGACACCTGTGGATCCTTTGGTAACATCTGGGCTAATAAAAGGAAACAATCCCAGAAGTCAGAGTGGGTGAGTTGGTTGGCAGGTGAGTGGCTCTGTCTCTGGCCACTCGCGGAGACAGACCTGCTTTATTCTACAGTAAGAGCTGCTAGTGTGAACTGCTCCTGCCCGAGGTTACTCTGTCGTGTTGGTCCTGCGGTGATTTTTCCTAGCAAGGAGCCAGGGGACCCGGATAATAGTCCAGACTTGACACTTTGGTCTCTCTGGTCATTCTTCGGCCAAGAGCACCCCAAAAAGCCAGGGCAGTCTCCCGCTCTGATGGGTGGGTGGGTGGCTGGTGGTGGGTGGTGGGGAGAGGTGGGTGTGTGGTGCTGGTGGGTGGGTGAGAGGCTGGGGTGGTGGTCTAGGTGGGTGTATGGGTATATGGGTGAATGGGTGGCCTGCGGCTGGTGGAATGGGAGGTAGGTGGTTGGTGGCTGTGAATGTGACTGGTTGGTGGCTGGTGAATGGTGACTGTGGTTGTGCTGGTGATGGGTGAGTTGGGTTGGTGGCTGGGTGAATGAGTGGGTGGCTGGGTGGCTTGGCTGTGTGGCTGAGTGCTGGTGGGTGTAGTGGGAAGGTCTGGAGGGTGGGTGGTTGGCTAGGTAAATGGGTGGGTGCCTGGGTGAGTGGGAGCTGGAAGGGTGGGTGGTTGGCTAGGTAAATGTGTGGCTGGGTGGGTGACTGGAGGTGGCTGTGTCTGGGTGGACTGAGTGACTGGTGGGGCTGGGTGCTGGTGGCTGGGTGAGTGATGGGTTGCTAGCTAGTGAATGGTGATTTGGGGCTGTAGTGAATTCGGGTGAGTGGCTGGGCAGGTGAAGTGAGTGGCTGCCTGGATGGGTGAGTGGCTGCCTAGGTGAATGGGTGGGTGGCTGGCTAGTTGAATGGGTGGTGGCTGGCTAGGTGAATGGGTGGTGGCTGGTAGTGGGTGGTGACTGGTGGGTGCCTGGGTAGTGGGTGGTGCTAGTGAATGGTGGTGGTGGTGGGTGTGGTAGGGTGGTGACTGGGGGGTGGCTGGTGGATGAATGGTAGATGGTGGTGGTGGCTAGTATGGGTGGGATGCTGCTAGGTGAATGGGTGTGGCTTGGTAGGTGGGATGGGTGACTGGTGGGTGGCTTTAGGTGGGTGGGTGCTAGGTTAATGGTGGGTGGCTGGGTGGTGTGGTGGTCTGGTAGGTGGGTGGTATGGGTTCTGTACGTGGGTGGTGCTGGGTGGTGGCTGGAGGTGGTGGGTATGGGTGGGTGGTGGGTAGGGGTGGGCTACGGTGTGCTGGGTAGTGGTGGGTGACTGGGTGGTGGCTTGGTAGGTGGTGGGTGATGTGGTGGTGGGTAGGTGGGTGGGTGACTGTGGGTGGCCTGGTAGTGGTGGTGGTAGTGAATGGTGGATGCTGGTGTGATGGTGGGGTGAGTGGGTAGGGTGGTAGAATGGTGCTGTGGGTGATACTGGTTGTGGCTGGTAGATGGTGGCGGGTGGTGATTGACTGGGTGTTGACTGGGTGGCTGGTAGATGGTGGCTTGGGTGGTGCTGGTTGGGTGCTGGGGGCTGGTGAGTGATGGGTTGGGCTGGGTAAGGGTCTGGAGTGACTGGGTGGTGGCTGGGTGCTGGGTGAGGACTGGTGGGTGCACTAGTGAATTAGGTGGAGTGGCTGGTGTGCTGGTAGGTGGGTGGGTGAGGGGGTGGCGTTGGTGATGACGGGAATGGTCTGGCATAGTGATGGTGGATGGCTGGGAGGTGTGGGTGGGGCTGGTAGTGGTGGGTGGGAGTGGGTGGTGCTGGAGGGGGTGGTGCTAGGGATGGGTGTGCGGTGTGATGGGTGTGGCTGGGTAGTGGTGGTGAGTGGTAGGGGTGGGTGCTAGGTGAAATGGTGGTGGCTTGGGTGGGTGAGTGGGGTGGGGGCTGGGTGGTGGTGTGATGGTAGTGGTGGTGACGGTGGGTTGCTGGGTGATGATGACGGTAAGGAGTTGGTGGGTGAGCAATGGGTGAATAGAATGATGGTGGGTTGCAGTCACGTGCAAGCCTGGGCAGCCACCACTGGGCTGCCGCCACCACTGTGTCCAGGGAGTCCTGCTCCACACTAGGGGGCCGGGCACCAGAGGAAAGAGCCAGTGGCGATGGCACCTGCCACAAGCCCGGCCCCCCACCTGCAGCAGGCCGAGTCCCACAGCCCAGGTCGCTCCAGCACCCAGCACTCCCGGGATGGGCCTCAGATGCTGCCCATTTTCTTTAAAAATGGTGAAGACAATGCTTTACTATTTCCCGCGACGTACTATGAAGTAGGTTTTTTTTTTTTTGCGGTCCTCGCATTGTTGCCAGGCTACAGTAGTGCCGTGGGGTCGCTCGCTCACAAGCAACCTCAACTCCTGGCTCAAGCAAGTCCTCCTGCCTCAAGCCTCCCCGAGTAGTGGGACTAAGGCATGCCGCCACCCATGCCCGGCTAATTTTTCATTATTTAAAAAGTTGGCCAAATTAATTTTTTCATAATTTGAGTAGAGACGGGGTCTACGCTCTTGTCAGCTGGTTTAGAACTCCTGACCATTGAGCAAGCCCGCCGCTCGCCTCCCCAGGAGCTAGGATTACAGGCGTGAGCCACTGCGCCCGGCCAAAGGTAGAAGTTTTTTAAGGTGCCAACTGCTCTTAGATAATACTTCAAATTTTGAATATACTTATTTTGCTTTTCTCCTAACAAAGCAGACGACACACGCATCACACTGTGGCCCATGTAGCACATGTGCACTCGTCATCTCTACCCCGCTGTGCGTCACCGCACAGGCCTGTGCCGTGTCATTCCTGTCCGGCGCTGGCCAGGGGTGAAGGCGGCACCGTGACCTGGGACCAGGTAGGTGGCTGGGAACAGTCTTTCTAGAAACCACGTGGCACTGCCACAGGTGTTCTCGGGACTCTGCCCTAAGGGAGATCTGAGGTGGAGCAGCTCCGGGAAGACACCAGCAAGCCCAGCGGCATTTCCGCGAGCAAAGGCACGGAGTCGGCCCGAGCTTCAAACAGCAGGCCATGGGTGCTGAGTGAGAAAAGCGGGTCTCAGGGTGTGACAGTCGGAGCAGTCACACAAGCAACAGACCCAGGAGAACAAAGGGGCGGCGAGCCGGGTGTGCAGGACGAGCCCAGAGCCCAGCTGGAGCCCAGGGTGGGGCGGGGGCTGCGGGCGCGGTGGCCCTGCTGTCTCTGGGCCGGGCTCAGGGGCCTGGCGTCCTCTGCAATCGACTTTCAATCGTCCGTCCCTGGTGCTCTGGCCGACCGAGTGCTGGACGCCTCGTGAGGGAGGAGTCGGCCCTGGTCCCACAGTGACACGCTGGGGCTCGGCCACCGGGGACCCCGCAGCTCCGGCAGCTGTGCCCGGCCGAGCCCAGAGCCCCTTCCCCAGCACCCCACTCCAGGACACAGTGACAGCCGTGCTTGCTTCTCGTGCGCTTTATTGAGACTCAGTGTGCGGGACAGTGAGCGTGTGGGCAGGGTAGGGTGGGGGGGAGCAGAGGGGAGGGGGCTGTGGATGGGGAGGGGGTGAGCAGGGAGGAGGGGCTCAGGTGGGGAGGGGCTCAGGTGGGGAGGAGGCTCCCCACAGGTGAAAGGGCTCAGGACCCGAGGACGGGGAAGCGGTGCTGGACCCCTCCTGGGTAGGAGGCAGCAGTGTTGGGGACAGGAGGGTGGGGCTTCCTCACTGACCCGGTGGCAGCTCTGGGGACCTGGCTCAGGTCTTCCTGGGGACGTAGTGGTGGATCCAGTCCAAGTAGGAGGTGACTCGGGTGTAAATGCCGGGTCGGCTGGGCCGAGCGCAGCCGTCGCCCCAGCTGACCACGCCGGCCAGCAGCCAGGTGCCCTTCACCTTGCAGGCCAGGGGCCCTCCGGAGTCGCCCTGGGGACGGGACGGGGGAGGGTCAGTGCTCGCTGGCCAGCCCTGGGAGGGGGCGTGTGGGGGACGGGCGGGGCCCACCTGGCAGGAGTCTTTAACTTTGGTCCCGGCACACAGCATGTTGTCCCGGACGATGCGAACGCTGTCCGCTGTGTAGAGGCCAACGTGGTACTGGGCGTCACAGACGTCGTTTGCCACTATGGGGACTTCCACCTCCTTCAGGTGATACGGTGGTGGCAGGTGCTCTGTGGGTGGGAGGAGAAGGTGGCGCAGACTGGACCTGGGCTGTGCTAGCAGCCGGCCTAGGCTACCCTGTCAGCTGGGCATGGGTGACACCAGTGCTCCCCAAGTGCCACCTGGAGCTGCTCCCATCTGGGGCCTGCGCCCTGCATAGGTGGGTGCTGGGCGTTCTGTACCCCGCCCTGCTCTGGAGGCTGGGCCGGGACCCCTGGCTCCTTTAAGCCCCACGTGGGGAAGGGGCAGTGGGTGGTGGGGAGAGGGCTCTGCTCGCCGTCTCCTCCCGGCTCCTCTGGCCTTGTTCAGGGAGGGGGGACAGGGCCAGGATTGGCCTCAGCCTGCTGCCTGGCCAAGCCCTCATGGCCCCATGACTCAATTTCCCCTCTGTGGATGGGGAGGAGGACAGGATGCTGTGACTCTGCTTGGTGAGTGTCCCCAAAGCTTTGCTATGACTTGTATGTAAAACGGAGATAAGACCTTCTAGAACTGAAGCTGTGCCTCCCAGAGGGGTCAGGCTGAGCTTTGTCCAACCCCCACACGCCCTCCTGCCGAGACCCCAGTTCCCGGAGTGTCTGCCCTGGTCCCGGGCACAGGGGTGGGTGTGGGCTGCTCCCCTGCACTGGGCAGTTCTCCTTCCCTCATCACAGTCAGGCACTTCACCGGCAATTTCCCACCTTGCTCACATCACACTTGTGCAGTGGGAAATTCCCAGGAGCCCTTGGAGGCAGGTGCAAGGGGCAGAGAGGTGCCAGTGCCTTGCTCAAGGTGCCCAGCTATGTGGCCTGGGCCCGTTGGACCTGCAGTCCCTGCTCCACACATGCTGCCTCCTGCCAGCGCGCCCCTTCCCAGGGTCTCCGAGTTCCCACCCCTGGCTGTCCTGCAGGGTCCCTGTGCCCAGAGGGAGGCCTTGGGTCTGGGCCCTGCTGTGACCCGGCCCCACCTGCCCCAACATCCAGCCGTCCCTGACACGTACCGCCCTCTTCCACGTCACCCCAGCCTGTCACCCAGCACCGTGTCCCCGGGGGGAAGGTCTCTGAGGCCGGGGGCAGGGTGACCGTGTGGATGTGGCTGGAGAGGTTCACGGGGAACCCCAGTTCCAGCAGGGCGATGTCGGCCCCGGCCTCGGCGATGTAGTAGTTGGGGTGGAGGAAGATCCTGCTGACGGGCACCAGCGTGTCTTGGTAATAGAGGTACTCCTCGCCCAGCTGCACTCTGAACTTTGCCGGGTCCTGGACTACCCTGGGGGACAAGACTCCTCCTCAGGGGACCTGAGCAGCCCCCGGTGCACCCGGGCCCTCCCCACGCACCAGGCCTGCAGGAACTCACGGTCGCGGGTGTCCTATGCAGTGCGCCGCCGTCAGCACCCACTGGGGGTGGATGAGGGAGCCCCCGCAGATGTGCTGCCAGAACTGACCATAGGCCCTCAGGCTCACCTGCCAGGGCCAGATGCTCACAGAGGCCTCCTGGCCCCCCACGATCCCTGCTCGCTCCAGGGCCTCTCCTGGGGCTGGGTGGGGACAAGGTCAGCTGTGCCAGGCACCCTGGCCCCCTCTGGACCCACCCGAGCCCTGGCCTGGAGGGTGTGGGGTGAGGGGCAGGGACAGGGCAGGGCAAGGTCGGGACTCACCAGGGGCCGCATGGACCAGGCTCCCCAGGACGGGCAGCGCCAACACCAGCAGGCTCAGCATCTGGAAGGGGCAGGGAGGGGGCGTGAGCGGGGCTGGGCCAGGCTCTGCAGGCTGTGGGGTGCAGGAGGGAGCCGGGGTCCCCAGGGATCAGGGCTGTCAGGGCCAGGAGGGGGGATCCGCACCCTGGTCTGTCCCTGTCCCTCTCTACCCAGCAGGCTCTCCCCTCCCCTTTTATCCCTCCAGACCCGGATGGGGTCAGGGCTCCACCCTCCAGGGCAGACGTGGAGGAAGTGGGTGACTCAGACCCAGGGCCCACGTCTGCTAGGCCAGGAGGGGACCCTGCCGTCCCCACACCCCATGTCAGACCCCGCTGCTCAGAGGACTCCCTCGGCCACCACCGCCGCTGCCGTCTGTGTGGCCCCTTGTGATCTCGGGATCGGAGCTGCACCTGCAGAGGGAGGAGCAGAGGACCGAGGGCCACAGCACGAGAGGCCAGCACCTGCCCCCTCGGCCACCCCTGGCCCCACCACCCCTGGGTCCTGTCCCCTGCCCAGGGCAGACTCCACCTCCCGACTCTTGCTGGGCCTGCTGGCCACCAGGGGCCCAGCCATCTCCTCACCCTCTGACCCCCTGGGGCCCCTGGGCACCCCAACACAGCACCCAAGGGAGGCCTCGGCCCACCCCACCCTGCCCAGGGACCCGCTGGCTCTGCTGCACACCCAGGCCACATTATGGGGACTCCTCCTGGGGACAGGGCAGGGTGTGTCCTGACCCCTCTTGCTCAGCGACCTTGGTCCCCACTCATTCTCCCAACAAACTCCCAGAAGGCCTCCAAGAGCCCCATCCTGGTCTAGGAAGAGGCCCACTGGTGGGACCCTCAGGAGCCCATGTGGTGAGGAGATGGCACAGGGACAGAGGGATGAGGGCGCCAGGGCCTGGGGACCCCAGGGACAGGTAGGGACCCAGGGCCGGGGAGCGCAGAGGGGCCCTCTCCAAGAAGTGTTCCTATTGGCTGAGGCCTAGGAGGCGGTCCAATCAGCATGAGGATGCCCTAGCTATGATTGGCTGATGCTGGACCAATCCGAGCCGGCCCTGAGGACCCCCATCCCCCTCCCCTCCACAGACCTCCAAGCCAGGAGGTGAGGGGACCCACGGGGTCTTGCCAAGAGGCCCTCTCAGGGCCGGCGTCCTCAGGCTGTCGGTGGGCTTGGCTCACTGAGCTGCTGCCACCATTGTAAATTGGTAATCCTATTTGCTCCAGGGACCTGCATTTTCGGTTTGCACTGGGTCCGGATCCTCCTTCCAGGTGATAGCGGTGGTGGCAGGTGCGCTCTGTGGGTGGGAAAAGGAGAGGTGGCCGGGCAGACTGGACCTGGCTGTGCTAGGCAGCCGGCCTAGGCTACCCTGTCCGTGGGGCATAGGTGAACACTCAGTGCTCCACCAATGCCACCTGGAGCTTGGCTCCTTATCTGGGGCCTGCGCCCTGCATAGGTGGTGCGGCGTTCTGTACCCGCCCTGCTCTGGAGCTGGGCCGGGACCCTGGCCTCCTTTAAGCCCACGTGGGGAAAGGGGCAGTGGTGGTGGCGGAGAGGGCTCTGCTTGCTGTCTCCTCCCGGCTCCTCTGGCCTTGTTCAGGGAGGGGGGACGGGCCAGGATTGGCCTCAGCCTGCTGCCTGGCCAAGCCCTCATGGCCCATGACTCAATTTCCCCTCTGTGGATGGGGAGGAGGACAGGATGCTGTGACTCTGCTTGGTGAGTGTCCCAAAGCTTTGCTGTATGACTTGTATGTAAAAGGAGATAAGACCTTCTAGAACTGAAGCTGTGCCTCCCAGAGGGGTCAGGCTGAGCTTTGTTCCAACCCCCACACGCCCTCCTGCCGAGACCCCAGTTCCCGAGTGTCTGCCCTGGGTCCGGGCACAGGTGGGTGTGGGCTGCTCCCTGCACTGGGCAGTTCTCCTTCCCTCATCACAGTCAGGCACTTCACCGGCAATTTCCCACCTTGCTCACATCACACTTGTGCAGTGGAAATTCCCAGGAGCCCTTGGAGGCAGGTGCAAGGGGCAGGAGGTGCCAGTGCCTTGCTCAAGGTGCCCAGGTGTGTGGCCTGGGCCCTGTTGGACCCTGCAGTCCCTGCTCCACACATGCTGCCTCCTGCCAGCGCGCCCCTTCCCAGGGTCTCCGAGTTCCCACCCCGGCTGTCCTGAGGTCCCTGTGCCCCAGAGGGAGGCCTTGGGTCTGGGCCCTGCTGTGACCCCGGCCCCACCTGCCCCAACATCCAGCCTCCCTGACACGTACTGCCCTCTTCCACGTCACCCCAGCCTGTCACCCAGCACCTCGTCGCCGGGGGAAGGTCTCCGAGGCGGGGGCAGGGTACCGTGTGGATCTGGCTGGAGAGCTTCACAGGGAACCCCAGTTCCAGCAGGGCGATGTCGCCCCGCCTTGGTGATGTAGTAGTTGGGTGGAGGAAGATCCTGCTGACGGCACCAGCGTGTCTTGGTAATAGAGGTACCTCCTGCCCAGCTGCACTCTGGAACTTTGCGGGTCCTTCACTTCCCTGGGGACGAGACTCCTCCCTCAGGGACCTGAGCAGCCCCCGGGTGCACCCGGGCCTGCCCTCCCCGCCAGGCCCAGAGACTCACGGTCCCACGCAGTGCGCCGCCGTCAGCACCACTGGGGTGGATGAGGGAGCCCCGCAGATGCTGTCCAGAACTGACCATAGGCCCTCAGGCTCACCTGCCAGGGCCAGCTGCTCACAGAGGCCTCCTGGCCCCACGATCCCTGCTCGCTCCAGGGCCTCTCCTGGGGCTGGGTGGGCGACAAGGTCAGCTGTGCCAGGCACCCTGGCCCCCTCTGGACCCACCCGAGCCTGGCCTGGAGGGTGTGGGGTGAGGGCAGGGACAGGCAGGGAAGGTTGGGACTCACCAGGGGCCGCATGGACCAGGCTCCCCAGGACGGGCAGCGCCAACACCAGCAGGCTCAGCATCTGGAAGGGCAGGGAGGGCGTGAGCGGGCTGGGCGGCTCTGCAGGCTGTGGGTGCAGGAGGGAGCCGGGGTCCCCAGGGATCAGGGCTGTCAGGGCCAGGAGGGGGATCCGCACCCTGGTCTTCCCTGCCCTCTCTACCCAGCAAGGCTCTCCCCCTCCGCCTTTTATCCCGTCCCAGACCCGGTATTGGGTCAGGGCTCCACCCCTCCAGGCAGACGTGGAGGAAGTGGGTGACTCCAGACCCAGGGCCCAAGTCTGCTTGGGCCAGGAGCGGACCCCTGCCATCCACACCCCATGTCAGACCCCGCTCTCATAGGATCTCACCCGCCACCCACCGAACCGCTGCCGTCTGTGTGGCCCCTTGTGGATCTCGGGATCGAGCTGGCACCGTGCAGAGGGAGGAGCAGAGCGCGCAGGGCCACAGACATGAGAGGCTCAGCGCCTGCCCCCTCGCCGCCCCTGGCCACCACCCCTGGGCCCTGTCCGCTGCCCCAGGCAGACTCCACCTCCTTCCCCGAACTCTTGCTGGGCACTGCTGGCCACACAGGGGCCCAGCTCCTTCCTCACCCTCTACCCCTGGGCCGCCTGGGCGCCCAACACAGCGCCCCATGGGGGGCCTCCCCACCCCCACCGCTGCCCAGGGGACCCGCTGGCTCTGCTGCACACGCAGCGCCCACTTATGGGGACTCCTCCCTGAGGGACCAGAGGCAGGTGTCCTAACCCCTCTTGCTCAGAGCGACCCTGGTCCCACTCATTCTCCCCCCCCACAAACTCCCAGGAGGCCCTCCAAGAGCGCCCCCCCATCCTGGTCTAAGGAACAATGGCCCCCTGGTGGACCCTCAGGAGCCCACGTGGTGAGGAGATGGCAGCAGGGACAGAGGGATGAAGCCGCCAGGCCTGGGGACCCCCAGGAGAGGTATGGGACCAGGCCAGGCGGGATGCCAGAGGGGGCCTCTCCAAGAAAGTGTCTCCTATTGGCCTGAGGCCTAGGAGTGTCCAATCAGCAATGAGGATGCCCTTAGCTATGATTGGTCTGATGCTGGTACCCATCCGAGCGGCCTGAGGACCCCATCCCCTCCCCCTCCATGACTCAAGCCAGGAGGTGAGGACCACCGGGTCCTGCCAAGAGGCGCCTCTCAGGGGCGGCGTCCCTCAGGCTGTCGGCCGTTGCGCTCACTGAGCTGCTGCCAACCATTTAAATTGTAATCCTATTGCTCCCAGGGACCTGCACTTTTCCGTTTGCACGTGGGCCCTGGCAGTCTGGCAGGTGATCCTGGGTGGAAGTCGGTGTTTCCTTCCACACGGCTCCTAGGTGCTGCAGGCCTTGCAGAGAGGCGTGGCGTTGTTTCATGTCTTTTGCTGCTGTGGAAATACGGATTCCACGGAGTGTCGTCCTTCCCATCCCAGAGCTCAGGGGCCTGATCGGTCTCAGGGCTGAAGCCGGTGTCGGCAGGGCTGGCCTCTGGGGCTCCAGGGGAGAATCCCGCTGGCTTTCCGAGGACACCTGCAGCCTCGGCCTCTCCCTCCCTCTTCAAAGCTAGCCCTGCTGGTTCCCATTGTCTCTGCTCCACAGCTGGAAAGATTCTCTGATTTTAAGAACTCCGGTTACATTGGGCTCACCTGGGTGATTCAGGCCGCTCTCCACACCTCAGTGGCTGGCACCTTATCACATCTGCAAAACCCTTTTGCTCTGTAAGCCCACGCAGTCACCGGCCCACGGTTTAGGGTGCAGACCCCCTCGGGCCATCTTCTGCCTCTCCATATGCGTGATGAGGTGCAGGTGAGAAGGGATCCCCTAACTCTGGAAGTGAACTGAGCTGGGACAGGTGAGGGTCCTGAAGTCCCTTCTCGTGGGACCCGGGATGGCCTGGAGTCAGGATCAGCACCTGTTTCCATGGAGACCCTGCCTCTGCCCTCCCTCCATACTGGCGACAACAGGCTCCTGGGCCTGGGCAGGGGTGACCTGGGTGGGACTCCTGGCTCAGACCCTGCTCCCCTGTGCAGGGCTGAGCTGGCAGGTCCTGCCCCGCCCAGGTGTGCGCCATCCAGGGAGGAAGGGGCCTTGCCATGGATGGGGGCTGATGTCGTCCCTGTTGGTCACCAGGTCAACATCTAACTGAGTTCTGAGCCTGGGCTGCCGACTGGCCAGGTGCTGGCCTGCAGGAGGCCACATACTGTTGGGTCATTAGGCAACGTCCCCTTGTGCCTCAGTTTCCCCACATCTAGAGGGGTCCCTGACCTCCAGGTCACAGGCCACCCTCCAACCCTGGCCTGTGACTTGGATCTGAGCAGGGCAGGAAAAGCCCAGCTGCCCCAGGGCCCCAATCAGCGCGTCATCAGGCCCCGGCCACAGAGAGACGGTTGGGAAAGGGCTGGTGGGCGGTGGGCGGTGGTGTGACGGTGCCTATCTGACCTGTGTGGGGACCTTGGGACCTGCCGGCGGATGTGGGGACAGGGACATCTGGAGGCAGGGTGTCACAGGCCTGAGCTGTCTCTGCCGGCTGTCTGGCTCTGGCTGGACCCAGGAACTAGAACTGGACTTCTGTGTCCTCCTTTCTTTCTAAAAAATATGCTTTCAGTTTAGAGCCAGGGTGGGGGTTACAGGACGCTGCAGCCATGCATAGAGGTGCTCGAGTGGCCCGCACCCGTCCCTGTCACTGGCATCCATGTTAGGAGCGTGGCTCGTTGCAGCCAGTGAGCAGGTACTTTGCATCATGTCAGCCAAAGTCCAGCGTTGATTCCAATCTCCTTACTCTTCCCTAACGCCCCGTTTCTGTCCAGGAGCCCACCAGGACCCCATGACACTCAGTTGTCACATCTCCTTAGGCTCCTCTTGCTTGAGGGCGCAGACTGTCCTTGCCTGGTGGCGCGGCGCCTGCGGAGTGCCGGTGGGGCCGTGGACGCGTCCTAGGGTTGCGGGTGGTCGGCCTGGGCTCTCGGGCTGGGAGGAAGCCCGGGGTGAAGCGCCCTCATCCCAGCTCCCAGGGCACACGCCGTCACCTCTGACCTCTCCCTGGGAGGTGCGACCTCTCACCCTGCGGAAGGCAGCTTTTGGGTCTCCCCTGGAGTTCCTCCCTGGCCTCACGGCTGTGCCCAGGAGGGACGTCTCGGCCTCGTCGGGTAGGAGCGGCCACGCCTGAGGGGCAGCTGCGTGCACCGTCTGGGTCTCCTGCCTGGAGATCGGTCTCTGTCCCACAGTTACTTGTTTATTCCCTGTGTTATTCCCAGTTAGTTGTTACATCCATGTCAGTGTGCGACTCTCGGATGCTTATCACATACTTACTTTGTCGCTCACGTTGTCTTAGCTTTGTCCCGGCTGTTGCGCCACGGCGTTTGGCCTGTCGTGGCCACGGTCTGCATCAGTTCTTCTCCTGCTGCGTCGTCTCCACGGCAGCAAGAGCCACGGCACGCGTCCTCCCCTGTCCGGGCTCTGGTGGTTCCCTGTTTGGGCCTCGACAAATCAAGCTGATGGGAATGTGACTATGGAAGTCCTTTTCGGACCGAGGCTTTTATTCTCTCTGGATCAATACCCAGGGGTGAGATAGCTGAATCATATGCGTGACTTATTGAAAAACAGAATAGATGCTACAATCCAAAAGAGAAAATAGAAAACATTTGTAAACAATTTTACAATGACATCTAAAAGACTGATATATCTAGCAATACATTTGACCAAAGAGGGAAGACACTTGTGTCTCGTATATTTCTTCATTTCTGTATTCTGATGCTCTGTTTGGGCTTCATCCTGCAGAGACTGTCTCCCCGTCACTGTCCCTCATGTCACCTCTGCACTGGACTCTCACACACGTTGAGCCGACATTCCCCTGCCCGAGCCACCCCAGGGCCCAGATTATTGACAAGTAGGGCCACCCCTACGGCCCAGAGGCTGCTGAAATGGCTCTGACTGTCTGTCCTGAGATTGCCCTGCCTTTCCCATTGCTTCCCAAGAGAACCCCAAGCAGGCTGGGGCGTCTCTGCCTCTCCTTCCTCTGCCTCTCCTGTTGGGCTCCCGTGTGCCCCGGACAGTCCCGCCACTCCGTGTCTAGGATCTGTGAGTACCAGCTTCTTCCTTCACAACAATTCTGTCTGTACGTCTAACCTGATTTAACAAATCCCAGGCACAGATTTTAGAACACACTAAAAATAGAAAATCATCTCTGTAACATGGCTAAAATGAAACAAGACCTAAAAAATGGAAAGAGGTAACATTGTTAAGGTGGCGTATGAGCCGATGCCAAACAAGCTCAAGTGACCCCCACTCCCTATCCAAAGTTCAAATGGGGCTGGGGCTTTTTGCGTTTGTTTTTTGTTTACAGAAATGACAAAGCTAATCCTTCAAATCAAACCAGAATTGCAAGTGGCCCAAATAGTGGAAGACAAGTAATGAAAAAGAAGAGCAAAATGGATGACTCCCATCCTTTCTGGACTCCCCAATATTCTATGAATGCCTACAGTAATTCAAACACCAGTGTGGTCTGGCAAGAGAGATATAGAGCCACTGAATAGAATGGGAAACCAGAAAGTAACTCATAGCCGCTGACAACTGATTGCTTTGGCAAGGGCACTAAGAACATTCAATGGGAAAGTAACTAGTCTCTTCAAGAAACCTGCATGGCAACCAAAACCCCCATGCAGAAGAACGGAGGACGACTCCTACCTACACTGGACACAAGCGTGGTAAAGCCCAATGGGTCAGTGACCTAAACATGAAGCTCAAGCCACAGAACTTGAAGAAAACATAGGAGTAGATTTTCTTGACCTTGGATTGGCGATGGGGACTTAAATATTGATTTTTTTTTTTGAGACAGAGTCTCACTTTGTTGGCCCAGGCTAGAGTGAGTGCCATGGCGTCAGCCTCGCCACAGCAGCAACCTGCAACTCCTGGGCTCAACAATCTCCTGCCTGCAGGCCTCCCAAGTAGCGAGACTACAGCATGCCACCAACCCAGCTAATTTTTCCTAGTATATATTAGTTGGGCAATTAATTTCTTTATTATAGTAGAGACGCTTGCTCTGCTCAGCTGTTTCGAACTCCTTGACCTTGAGCAATCTACCTGCCTTGGCCTCCCAGAGGCTAAGCATTACAGGCGTGAGCCACCGCGCCGGCCAAAAAGATATTTTAGAAATGAAAAGAGTGATCATAGAGAAAGGAGAAAATATTTGCAGATTATGTTATCTTGTAAGGGTCAGTGTCCCACCGCCATGGTGCCGGGAGATACTGTGCCTGCTGTTACCCATAACTCTCAAACGCCATTGCAAAGTCCATCCCCTGCCCCAGTGAGGTACTCAGAAGCAAAAAGACCGCGTGGAGGACCATGTGGTCATTTATTCTCTTCCAGTCTGTAACAGGTCCCTGGCCTTTCCTCGACCGTTGCTTGACCTTTCGGGAAGCGGTGAAGGTGTCAGGCAGCGTTCTGCACAAGGCTCTCTCGCTGTGGGGCCGATATTGTCTAGATTAGACTGAGATGATACATCTTTGGGAAGATATCGCAGATGTGACTTCCCACTCTTTCCGTTCGTCTCACCAAGCGCACATTCAGTTTGTCCAGTTACCGGACATCTCGCCACCATTACCGCTGCTCCAGGCCGCCTCGCCCACGCGCGGTCACGGGCGATCCCCTTAAGAAGGAACGTTTTGCGGGGAGAGTCCTGGAGACCATGTGACTAGCCGCTTTCCATCAGACGTTCAATGTCCTCATCCTCTGGTGAAACTATGTGGACCCACAGTCTCCATTACTCTATGAGCTGTAACTTGTTCTTTTCTCGTGATGACTAGACATACAGCTGGCCCTGGGCGTGGGTGCGGGAGCCTGCAAGCTGTTTCTGGGCCTTCCTGGGGGGCTCACCCCTCCTCTGATCTCCCTGCATTGCTGTGCCCCTCTGCGATTGCTCCCCTGCTCCAGGCGTTTCAGGAGGTCCAGGCCCTGGAAATGTGCTTAGAAGCAAGCTAGTGACAGCATCCCCCATGCTTGGGGTTGTCCTGCCAGCCTTTCTCAGGGACAGAATCTACGGAATACATGCATGTGTGTGCACAGCACACGCACAGCACATGCACACGTGTACCATACAACACATGCACACTGCACGTGCACATCCGCACTCCATATCTCTATTGAAAGCCATCGGGCGGGCACTGGCTCAGCGCATCCCACACTTCTGAGTGAAGGCCAGAGGATTGCTTAGAGACCAGGATTTTGAGGCCAGCCTGGGCAACATGACCCGTCTCTACAAAAATTAAAAATCTAGCAGCTTGTGCGTGCTACTGGTCGCCACTGGTGGGAGGCTGGGGAAGGAGGACGCCTGAGCCTCCCGGAGCTGGGGCTGCTGTGAGCTGTTGAGCGGCCCCTGCGCTCCAGCCTGGGCGACCATCAGCTCTTACTGACCCCCTGCAGCTCCGCCCGTCGGTTTACTGCCTTCTCCTCTCTTCCAGACAGTGGGAGGCAGCTGCCACCCCTGCATTCACCACTCAATTTCACGACCCTGTGTGCAAGCCAGTCCCTCCTCTCACCCCACCTCCATGGCTCACCGCGACCCACTCTGGGTTGGGTTAGCGTTAGGCAATTCAACGCCAGTGTGTAGTGCGTGTGTGGTAGGGTCTCCTGGATCTGCTCTGCAGCCCCCCAGAGGAGAGTGGCCCCAACCCCCATAGAGTCCCGCCCTTCCCCCCCTCCCCCCGGACGACCGGGGAAGGCCCTGCCGTGCCAGGTGACGGTCCTGTCTGACCAGCTGTGTCTACACTCCCAGTCCCTGGGCATGTGACCCCCTTGGGGAAAAATTCCCCCCACAGGGGCCCCGGCATCCAGCCTCAAGGGGCCTCAAGGTCCCACCCCGGCCCCTTCCCTGGTGGCATCTCCTCTGGAATCGCACTCCGCACTACGGGCAGGGCTCCCGCCCAGCCTGAGTCACCTCCGTCCTGTGGACCCCTGCCTCTGACCCTGAGCCACACGACCCCTCCATCCCCTCCCCTGGCTGCCGCATCCTGGCCTGGAGAAGAGCCTGAGGAAGAGCCTGTTTGGCTCCCGGCAGCTCGGCGCCCGCCCCAGGCTTCTCCGCGCGGGAAACCGAGCTGAGAGCACGCGCAGGATGTTGCTACCCCAGCGGTCCGGGTCTACGCCGCGCACCCCCAGGCCTCTCCCAGACCCCAGAGGTCCCAGCGCGACCCGCGGCTCCGTGAACTGACCCGGGGAGGCTTAGGGAACCGCGCCTCCCCCGCCCGTCGGCCCCACCCCTCCCTGCACCTGCAGGCCCGCCCTCCACCGCCGCGGCCCCCCCGCGCGCCCTTGCCGGTGCACGCGCGGAACTGCAGCATCGGCGCGCGCCGGCAGGAGAAACTGCAGTGACCCCGTACCGCGACGAATCCAAGGTTCTGCAGCCAAGAGTTAAGTGGACTTGGCGAGCAGTGAATTCAAAGGAACACTCCAAAATACCGATCTAAATATAGCACGAGCAATTGGAAACAGACTAAAATCAGACCATTTGCTGCAGTACAGATAACGGAGCATCAGGAGTGACCGAAGGAAGGCGCGTGTGCGTGTCCCCAGGCCAGCAGTGCGAGATCTGAGAGGCGTCTAGAGGATGAGGCTCCGCTGCTGGTCTGGGCTGCTCAGAGACAGGTCTGGCCCGGGGCTGCGGCGCGAGCCGTGACAGGGACCTCCGCCTGCTCCCTGGGAGGGGACCCCAACAGGCCGTGACAGGAGCCTCCGGCTGCTCTGGGTAGGGCCAAAAGGGCCGTGACAGGGACCTCCCGGCCTGGCTCCCGGAGACCACCAAAGCCGTGACAGGGACCTCCGGCTGGCTCCTGGGAGGGGCCCCAAAGGGCCGTGACAGGACCTCCCGGCCTGCTCCGTGGGGAGGACCACCAAAGGGGCCGTGACAGGACCTCCCGGCCTGCTCCGTGGGGCAGGGACACCAAATGTCAGGCAGTAAAATCGCAAAGCACCTCCGACAGCCGATACCAAGCCGGGAAAGGACAGATTGTGAGGCCAGTCTCCCCCTCGGTTTTGGACTGCTGCGGAGCTGCCGTGTCACACGTACGCTGGGGACGTGCGCACGAAAGAGCAGCACCGTCTGCAGGAGACGGGCTCATGGCAAGCCATCTCGTCACGCGGCGGCACTGAATGGTCCAAGGTGACCTTGTCAATACCTGCGCCGTAACTGTTCTCCAGCTGTGGCAGGTGTCCTCCGCCAGGTTCCCACGGGCATCGCGTGCAGGTGGGTGGCGGGAACCTCTGCACCGTCCGCCATTGTCTGTAAGCTGAATACTGCTCTACAAAGGAGCCATGAATTTTAAAAGTCGCACAATTCCACATGCAACTTGACGCAAGCAACACCGCTTTTAAAGAAATTATTTTTTTATTTAGTGTATTATGGATACGGAGTGTTAAGGTTACGTAATTGCCATGCCCGCCTGCCCTCGAGTAAGAGCTTCAAGCGTGCCATCCCCCAAATGTTGCCGCAGCACACGCTTCTAACTCCCCCACCCTTTCCCCTGTCGTTGCTTAAAACCACTGAAAACGTCCTCACCTCGGTGGCTGTGCGCTGCTCCGTCTGCAGGGTGTTCCCCTCATCATACTAGACGTTCACTTTGCTTTTTCGTTCTGCAGAACTTCCTTTGCATTTCCGGCGGCAGCCACGCCGGCAATGGCGTTCTCGGTTTGTTGCTCGACTGGGAGAAGTCTTTGCTTCCCTTCATTTTTTGAAAGATTTCTCTGGAAATGATTCTTCTAGTTGACAGTCTTTTTAAAAAAACACGTTAAGGCAGCTCCCATTGTCCTGGCTTCGGGAGGCAGTGTCCCAAGCTGTGGACCGGTTGCCTGCCATACTGGGCTGACTTCGGAGAGCTGGCACCCACTGGGACCACACTGAGACCTCACGGCGTGCACGAGCCCCTCTTGCAAGGAGCAGCCGTCCCCGTTTTAAACAAGAGCTGTAGTTGGCTGGAGGTGGCAGTCGGGAAATAGCATGCTTTCTGTCTCCTCTCCTGCTGTCCTGGCTCATATATCAGAGCCTTTTTTGAGAGAGAGAGAGTCTCACTCTTTGCCCGGCTAGAGGCCGTGCGTCGACATAGCTCACGGCAACCTCAGATCTCCTGCTCAAACCCGATCCTCCTGCTCAGCCTCCCGAGGTAGCTGGACTACAGACATGCGCCACCATGCCCGGCTATTTTTTCTATATATTTTAGCTGTCCAATTAACTTCTTTCTATTTTGATACGAGACGCGTCTTCACTCTGCTTCAGCTGCGTCTGAACTCCCAGGCTCAAAAGATTCCTCTCTGCCTGGCTCCCGAGTGCTGGGATTACAGTGTGGAGCCACCGCGCGTCCTTCTAACCGCCCGGCCTTCTAATCCGCCGTTCTAACTTTTCTAAAGGCTGCAGCGCCACACCCCTCGGGCACTTCCCTCCACCAACTCGCCGCACCCACGTCGGCCGAGGTTCGTCTCTCTGCAGACGCGTTTGCTCCAAGACCTCGTGCCGGTGTCGCGCCCCGATGTGATTCTCTCCTGAGTTCAACCTTCAGGGTCCTGGACGTAGCCCTCCCAGCAGTCAGGATTCTGTTTCTCACGCTTCCCGTCCCTTTCTTCTTTCCTTTCGGCTTCCCCCAAGTCAGCTTCTCCCCCCGGCCCTGGATCTACTGCCGCATCTGCAGTCACAACGTCGTCCTCTTCAAGCAGGCCTGCGTCGGAGACGGCCGCCCTTTCTGCCTTCTGCAGAGAGAGGGAGAGGAAGGAGAGAGAGAGTAGAGAGAGGAAGGAGGAGGGAGGGAGGGGATGGGAATCTCTCCCCCTCCCCTTTTATCCCTCCAGACCCGGATGGGGTCAGGGCTCCACCCTCCAGGGCAGACGTGGAGGAAGTGGGTGACTCAGACCCAGGGCCCAAGTCTGCTTGGCCAGGAGGGGACCCTGCCATCCCCACACCCCATGTCAGACCCCGCTACTCAGAGGACTCCCGCGGCCACCACCGCCGCTGCCGTCTGTGTGGCCCCTTGTGATCTCGGGATCGGAGCTGCACCTGCAGAGGGAGGAGCAGAGGTCCAAGGGCCACAGCATGAGAGGCCAGCGCCTGCCCCCTCGGCCGCCCCTGGCCCCACCACCCCTGGCCCCTGTCCCCTGCCCAGGGCAGACTCCACCACCTCCCGACTCTTGCTGGGCCTGCTGGCCACCAGGGGCCCAGCTCTCTCCTCACCCTCTGACCCCCTGGGGCCCCTGGGCACCCCAACACAGCGCCCATGGGGGGCCTCGGCCCACCCCACCCTGCCCGGGGACCCGCTGGCTCTGCTGCACACCCAGGCCACGTTATGGGGACTCCTCCTGAGGGCAAGGCAGGGCGTGTCCAGACCCCTCTTGCTCAGTGACCCTGGTCCCCACTCATTCTCCCAACAAACTCCCAGGAGGCCTCCAAGAGCCCCATCCTGGTCTAGGAACAAGGCCCTCTGGTAGGACCCTCAGGAGCCCACGTGGTGAGGAGATGGCACAGGGACAGAGGGACGAAGGCGCCAGGGCCTGGGGACCCCAGGGACAGGTAGGGACCCAGGGCTGGGGAGTGCAGAGGGGGCCTCTCCAAGAAGTGTTCCTATTGGCTGAGGCCTAGGAGGCTGTCCAATCAGCATGAGGATGCCCTAGCTATGATTGGCTGATGCTGGACCCATCCGAGCTGGCCCTGAGGACCCCATTCCCCCTCCCCTCCATAGACCTCCAAGCCAGGAGGTGAGGGGACCCACGGGGTCCTGCCAAGAGGCCCTCTCAGGGCCGGCGTCCTCAGGCTGTCAGTGGGTTTGGCTCACTGAGCTGCTGCCACCATTGTAAATTGGTAATCCTATTTGCTCCAGGGACCTGCATTTTCGGTTTGCACTGGGTCCCTGGGCAGTCTGCAGGTGATCCTGGGTGGAGCGTGGTGTTTCCTTCCACACGGCTCCTGTAGGTGCTGCAGGCCTTGCAGAGAGCCGTGGCGTGTTCATGTTCTTTCGCTGCTGTGGAAATTACCGGATTCCACGGAGTGTCGTCCTCCCATCCCAGAGCTCAGGGGCTTGACTCGGTCTCAGGGGCTGAAGCCGGTGTCGGCAGGGCTGGTGCCTCTGGGGCTCCAGGGGAGAATCCCGCTGGCTTTCCGAGGACACCTGCAGCCCTCGGCCTCTCCCTCCCCCTTCAAAGCTAGCCCTGCTGGTCCCATTGTCTCTGCTCCACAGCTGGGAAAGATTCTCTGATTTTAAGAACTCCTGGTTACATTGGGCTCACCTGGGTGATTCAGGCCGCTCTCCACACCTCAGTGGCTGGCACCTTAATCACATCTGCAAAAGCCCTTTTGCTCTGTAAGCCCACGCAGTCACCGGCCCACGGTTTAGGGTACAGACCTCCCTCGGGGCCATCCTTCTGCCTCCCATATGCGTGATGAGGTGCAGGTGAGAAGGGATCCCTAACTCTGGAAGTGAACTGAGCTGGGACAGGTGAGGGTCCTGAAGTCCCTTCTCGTGGGACCCGGGATGGCCTGGAGGTCAGGACTCAGCACCTGGTTCCATGGAGACCCTGCCCTCTGCCCTCCCTCCATACTGGGCGACAACAGGCTCCTGGGCCTGGGCAGGGGTGACCTGGGTGGGGACTCCTGGCTCAGACCCTGCTCCCCCTGTGCAGGGCTGAGCTGGCAGGTCCTGCCCCGCCCAGGTGTGCGGCCGTCCAGGGGAGAAAGGGGCCCTGCCACAGAGGGTGGGCTGATGTCGTCCCTGTTGGTCACCAGGTCAACATCTAACTGGAGTTCTGAGCCTGGGCTGCCGACTGGCCAGGTGCTGGCCTGCAGGAGGCCACATACTGTTGGGTCATCAGGCAATGTCCCCTCGTGCCTCAGTTTCCCCACATCTAAGAGGGGGGGTCCCTGACCTCCAGGGTCTCAGCAGGACCCTCCAACCCTGGCCTGTGACTTGGATCTGAGCAGGGCAGGAAAAGCCCAGCTGCCCGGGGCAGCCAGGTCATCGGGCCCCCAATCAGCCAGGTCATCGGGCCCCGGCCACAGAGAGGACGGTTGGGAAGTGGGCTGGCGGTGTGGCGGTGTGACGGTGCCTATCTGACCTGTGGTGGGGACCTTGGGACCTGCCGGCGGATGTGGGGACAGGGACATCTGGAGGCAGGGTGTCACAGGGGCCTGAGCTGTCTCTGCCGGGCTGTCTGGGCCTCGGGCTGGGACCCGAGGAACTAGAACTGGACTTCTGTGTCCTCGCTTTCTTTCTAAAAAATATGCTTTTCAGTTTAGAGCAGGGTGGGGGTTACAGGGACGCTGCAGCCATGGCATAGAGGTGCTCGAGTGGTCCGCACCCGGCGTCCCTGTCACTGGCATCCCATGTTAGGAGCGTGGCTCGTTGCAGCCAGTGAGCAGGTACGTTGCATCATGTCAGCCAAAGTCCAGCGTTGATTCCAATCTCCTTACTCTTCCCTAACGCCCCGTTTCTGTCCCAGGAGCCCATCCAGGACCCCACATGACACTCAGTTGTCACATCTCCTTAGGCTCCTCTTGGCTGTGAGGGGCGCAGACTGTCCTTGCCTGGTGGCCTGGGCAGCCGTGCGGAGTGCCGGGTGGGGGCCGAGGGACGCACTCCTAGGGTTTGCGGGTGGTCGGCCTGGGCTCTCGGGCTGGGGAGGAAGGGCCCGGGGTGAAGCGCCCTCATCCCAGCATCCCAGGGCACACGCCGTCACCCTGACCTCCTTGGAGGTGGACCTCGTCACCCTGCGGAAGAGCAGCTTGTTGGTGTCTCCCCTGGAGTCCCCTCCCTGGCTTCACGGCTGTGCCGCCAGGAGGGACGTCTCGGCCATCCTCGGGTGAGGATCGGCCCACCGCCTCGAGGGGGGCAGCTGCGTGCACCGTCTGGAGTCTCCTGCGTGGAGATCGGTCTCTGTCCCACAGTTACTTGTTTATTCCCTTGTTTATTCCCAGTTAGTTGTTACATCCATGTCAGTGGCGACTCTCGGATGCTTATCACATACTTTACTTTGTCGCTCACGTTGTCTTAGCTTTGGCCATGCGTGGTGATGCCCACGGCAGTTTGGCTGTCGTGCCACGGTCTGCAGTCGAGTTCCTTCTCCCTGCTGCGTCATCTCCCACAGCAGCAAGGAGCCACGGTCCACGCGTCTCCTCCCCTGTCCGTGGCTCTGGTGGTTCCCTGTTTGGGCCTCGACAAATCAAGCTGATGGGAATGTGACTATGGAAGTCCTTTTCGGACCGAGGCTTTTATTTCTCTTGGATAAATACCCAGGGGTGAAGTAGCTGAATCATAGTGTGACTTTATTGAAAAAACAGAATAGATGCTACAATCCAAAAGAGAAATTAAGAAAACAATTTTGTAAACAATTTTGTTTACAATGACATCTAAAAGACTGAAATATCTAGCAATACATTTGACCAAAGAGGGGAGAGACACTTGTGTCTCATATATTTTTCTTATTTTCTGTATTCTGGATGCTCTGGTGTTTGGGGCCTTCATCCTGCAGAGACTGTCCCTCCCGTCACTGTCCCTCATGTCACCTCTGCACTGGACTCTCACACACTGAGCCGACATTCCCCCTGCCCGAGCCACCCCAGGGCCAGATTATTGACAAGTAGGGCCACCCCTAGGGCCCAGAGGCTGCTGAAATGGCTCTGACTGTCTGATCCTGAGATTGGCCTGCCTTTCCCATTGCTTCCCAAGAGAACCCCAAGCAGGCTGGGGGCGTCTCTGCCCTCTCCTTCCTCTGCCTCTTCCTGTCCTGGGGCTTCCCCGTGTGGCCCCGGACAGTTCGCCGCCACTCCCATGTCTAGGATCTGTGAGTACCAGCTTCTTCCTTCACAACAATTTCTGTCCGTACGTCTTACCTGATTTAAAACAAATCCCAGGCACAGATTTTAGAACAACACTAAAAACTAGAAAACATCTCTGTAACATGCTAAAATGAAACAAGACCTAAATAAATGGAAAGAGGTAACATTGTTAAGGTGGCGATATGAGCCAACGCCAAACACAGCTTCAATGTATCCCCTACTCCCTATCCAAGTTGCAATGGGCTGGGGTTTTTGGTTTGTTTTTTGTTTTACAGAAATGGAAAAGCTAATCCTCAAATTCAAACAGAATTGCAAGTGGCCCCAAATAGTGAAGACAATATTGAAAAAGAAGAGCAAAATTGGAGGACTCATCCTTTCTGACTCCAGAATTTTCTATGAAGCTACAGTAATCAAAACCGTGTGGTTCTGGCACAGAGAGATACAGAGCCACTGAATAGAATGGAGAATCCAGAAATAAACTCATATGCCGCTGACAACTGATTTTTGGCAAGGGCACTAAAACTATTCAATGAGGAATTAACAGTCTCTTCAAGAAACGGTGCATGGCAACCAACACCCCCATGCAGAAGAACGGAGGAGGACTCCTCCCCTACACCGGACACAAGCGTTAACCCAATGGGTCAGTGACCTAAACATGAGAGCTCAAGCCACAGAACCTTTGGAAGAAAACATAGGAGTAGATTTTCTTGACCTTGGATTTGGCGATGGATTCTTAAATATGATTTTTTTTTTTTTGAGACAGAGTCTCCCTTTGTTGCCCAGGCTAGAGTGAGTGCCGTGGCGTCAGCCTCGCTCACAGCAACCTCAAACTCCTGGGCTCAAGCAATCCTCCTGCCTCAGCCTCCCAAGTAGCTGGGACTACAGGCATGTGGCACCATACCCAGCTAATTTTTTCTATATATATTAGTTGTCCAATTAATTTCTTTCTATTTATAGTAGAGACGGGGTCTCGCTCTTGCTCAGGCTGGTTTCGAACTCCTGACCTTGAGCAATCTACCTGCCTTGGCCTCCCAGAGTGCTAGGATTACAGGCGTGAGCCACCGCATCTGGCCAAAAAAATTTTTTAAGAAAATGAAAAGATATCCTAGAGAAAGGGAGAAAATATTTGCACATTATGTATCTGGTAAGGGTCCAGTGTCCCACACGCCCATGGTGCCGGGAGATGACTGTGCCATGCTGTTACCATAACTCTCAAACGCCATTCAAAGTCC